GTAAATAATGAAGATAAAAATATGTTTAAAAAAGAAAAATGAAGCTTGAAGTGTCCACTTTAAGAATATTTAAACGGCAATTATAAGCGGTAATTTTTTTAAAAATGGCGGACAAAATGAGAAGATGTAAAATTTGTAATCAAAGGTGCGAGTTTGCGACGATGCACGGCGTGAATCAGGTATCGCAGCTCAATGAGACCAAATGCACATGAAAATATGGACTTTTATCTTTAAAATGCTTTTTTACGGAGTTTGATACGATCATTTGTCACTGAGTTATTCCAAATTTAAGATATCGCTGTCATTAGCACAAATTACAGTACATCATACTTTCCAAGAAAGTATAGAGAAGCCATAGAGATACAAAAACACTCTAACAATTTAAATAGAGATAATGGCTACAACATAAATAAAATATGGAAGACCATTCTCCCGGTTATTGAAGACCGACCAATTCCACCACTTCTTTCCCCTCCCACAACCCCTTCCCCCTCTCCGCCCATCCCCATCACCCCAACAAGCAGCGTAATATAAAAAGGAACGATCCGGAGGAATAGCTCAGTATCAAGCTGCCTCTCGCCTTGATGAAGTGGACTGCAAGGTTCACGAAACGTTGGCATCTCAAGAATGGATCTGGACACGGAGGAAACCCGCGAAACGCATAACCTTTATACAGAAAGCACTCGTGGAAGCCTCAAGAATGTTATATCAATGAGATGTTTTTATAGTATTGATTTGAAAAATAGAGATTTCAAGCTATAAAATGTTTTTTTAGACATTTTGCTATGACGATTTTTGACAAAGTTACGCTATCTTGAAGTTCGCCTCTTTTTAAGAGATAAAATAGGTAAACTTTTAATTTTGTTTAGTAGTGTAGTTATATATTTTATATAAATTTGTTTCTACTTTATGTTAAACTGTTATTACTTTCATAATTTTTATAGTTTTTACTTGCTGTACAAATTTTCTTGATATAATCGCCAAATGGCAAGGGATTGCTAAATGTATTCACTGCGTTTAATCAATCTTATCGATCTTTCATTTTGTTTTTTACTCTGGCCGCAACATTACTGAGGGCGTTAGCGAACGGCGAAATTTTTCTCCGCCGCCAACTCCTGTAAGAATGTCGGTCTTTAATAGTATCTCGTGGAAGTTTCGATCTGGCAGCGCTGGGGTGCGGACGTGCGTGTTCAGTCTCCGTGTTGTTTGACCGTGTAGCGAGTGTATTTTGCCTGCGAGCACCTATTGTGCGCCTTGTTCTAGTTATTTGAACGTTTTTCGTGTCGGACCTCTGAATATAAACTTTGTGCGCCACTGTAAAACACAGTATAAAAGACACGACTCAATTTGAGGCATTATGCCTCAGCCCCCCGGGGTGGGGAACGATGGCCGCGACGGTGTTTTGGGCGCATCTTTCTCTCTTAATCCCCCGACTCTTATTCTAAATCCTTATTCACCCTCTGATTCTAACATATCTTCTCCCCCTAATTCTCCCCATAGCGAACAGGCCTCTCAAAACCTACTAGAAGACATTTACAAGAAGGCTGGCCTGACAATGCAGAGCCACCCTCGAGACGAGGCGACCGCGTTAGAGCGCGGCATCACCAACGCAGGTAATGAATGTCCGGTGGGCCCGGACGGGGCGACTTTCGTCACCTCTGGGCCTTCCATGGATTCGTCCCCCATGGACATCGACGAGGAACAAAGGCAAGCTAAAAAACGAGCATTGCCAGGGCTAGCAGAGGATAATTCTCAAAACAAGCACGCTCCTCCCGCCAAAAAAGGTGCATGCGCGAGAGCAAGTAACCCTGATTCGCCGTCCAGTATTCGGGCAGATTCCCATGAAAATTCAGCCAACGAGAACTCGACCAATAAAATAACGGCACGATACAGCCAGCGCGACATAGGCCCGTATGTTGTTTATATATATCCTAACTCTCGAGACAATATAGTCCATTCCACGCTCATAAGCCGCATTATAGTCAAAGCCGGCATTCCTGACATCCTCGAAATAAAGAAAACTGGTAGAGGAAAGATAATGATCATAGTCAAAACCGCCTCGAGTGCCAATCGATTGGTGGAAAATTCTGTATTTGCCAAACATAACCTGAAAGCATTTATTCCTTCTTTCAAGGTTCTCAGGACAGGATTAATCAGTGACATCCCACAGCAAATTGAGCTGGACGTTTTAAAGGAAGGACTGGAATCCCCAAAAGCCAAGATAATCGATGTGTAGAGACTAAACAGGAGATGTGTCACGAATGAAAAGATCGAATATGTTCCATCTAGGACAATCCGCATCAAGTTTGCAGGTCAGATCCTGCCGCAAGAAATCTTTTTGTTTAAGGTCAGGCATGAGGTTCGCCCTTATATTCCACTACCGAGAATCTGCCATCTCTGCCACAGAGTCGGGCACGTAAGCGACTCATGCAAGAGCACTCCAAGATGTTTGCATTGTGGTGAAGACAAGCACGACAGCAGCAATGATAACAATGCAGATCAGCCGTGTCGTATGCAGGGGGAGAGCCCCAGATGCATCAATTGCCAAGGTGACCACTGGGCCAACAATCAAAACTGTCCAATGATTGTTAAGCAACGCACTATAGTCAGCCTCGCAGCTGTGGAAAATATTTCCATAGCGGATGCAAGAATATGGGTTGAAAAAGGTTGGAAACCCTCTTCTTCACCTTCCAACGCATCACTGAGAAATAACACGAACAACTTTCCCAATCTTCCTCGCGGTAAGGAGGCTTACTTCGAAAACTCTAACAGATTTAACCTTCTAGGTAATGAAGAACCTGAAAACGTGTATTGCTCATATGCTGAAATCCTAAAATCTCAGAGTCAATCACAATCACAGTCACAAAGAAACAAGCAGATCTACCGCAGAGGGAATACGCCGACGACGACGTCAGCATCGGCGCCCACATCTCACAGATACGCGACTCAATCCAACACGCTTCAAGGTGGCTATGACGACGGGGCTCACCATCGGGTTCTCATCGAGGCTAACGGTCGGGCCTCGTGCAAGTCCGGTAACGGCGTAGCCTTCTCTAATTACTCCTCCAAATGGTCAGAACCTCAAGGTACATACACGGGTAAGGCGAAAGACGAGCTGGATTTTGCTGAGTTGCTTGCCATGGCAACTGGAATCTTTTCACACTTCCAGAATAACAACTTCACCGGCGCTGTTAGCGACATTTTTAGGATCCTCAAAATTCTTGGCAAATACTTTTTCCAATCTTCTTCCTTCGCTTCTCAGCCTGATAGAGAGGCGAGAGATTCTCCCGGAACCCCCCATGTCATCAACGATTATAACAACAGGTTCGAACAGCAGCAAGACTCTGCATTCGATTACGATTATGAATCGGATTGCAATTACAATTTTCGGAACTAAATCACACACTTCACGCAATAATGCCAATCAGGCTAGTGACATCCCGCGTAGCCTGCGTGGTCCCTTGTCTTCGCCGCTGTCGCGCGGCGGCTTGGCGGATTGGGAACCGGTGGCGGTATTGCCGCCACCCTCGCCGGCCTGCCGGCGCCGCGGGGTTGGCAGGGGCGCAGCTTCGAGGAATAGCGCATCTCACAAACATTTCAGCATTTTTCAATGGAATAGTTATGGAATTAGAAGTGGACTTCCCTCACTGCTTTCAATAGCAAAGGATTATCACGTTCTATGCATCCAAGAAACCTTGCTTAAAAACAATAATGCTTTCAATATCAAAGGTTTTAACGCATATAGAAAAGATATAATCCATCCAGGAGACCGAGGTTTATGCACACTAGTAAGAGCGGATATCAAGTCTGAGCTCGTTGTCCTTCAGAATACTGAACACCCATCAGTAGAATTCAACGTGGTCAGAATTGAATGCCTGACTTCCGAACCGGTGATTATCGTCAATGTCTACCGACACCCCGGGCAAAGAACTCCCGCTTCCTTCTTCAGATCTCTACTCAATAGCCTGCAAGGTTACAAGAACCTTATCATCCTGGGAGATCTCAATGCTCATCACCCGGCATGGGGCTCTAGGACATATTCTAATTCGGGAAGGACCCTTCACCAGATCATTGGAGAATATGACTTGTTCATACTCAATGATAAAGCGCCAACCTTTGTGAGAACCTCATCAGCCGCTACTTCAACTATAGATCTAGTTCTGGCGTCTCCCTCCTTGGCACCTCTGTGCAGCACCAAAACAAACTCCGATACTCTCGGTAGTGACCACTTTCCCGTCATCACGACAATCGGTATTCAAGCTTGTTTTAAAAAAAAATTTTCTAAAGAAATGTGTCAGGATCTGTTTCGGATCCTGCTCTCTACCACTAAGGATCTTCCCGCTCAAGTTGGAGATGATCTATTAGGTCGCTATGACGCTTTTACTAACAATATCCTTGAGGCGGCCAGGAGCTTCCTCCCGGAGAGCAAGCGCCTCCCACGCACCTCTGTACAAATAAAAAAATTAGAACTTCCACCTTGGTGGAATGAGATCTGCTCCAAAGCGGTTCGCGATTGAAAGAAGGCCATTAGAGAGTTTCTGTCCGCCCCCTCCGAGGAGAACCATCAAGAATTTCGCAGGGCTCGCTTGAATTGCGCCAGGGTACTCCTAGAACAAAAGAGAAGAGGATGGCGCAACCTTGTGAATGGTTTCAACGCAAGGACTCCTACCAGTCAGATTTGGGCCTTGATTAAAAGTTTCAAGAGAAGGGCGTCACAACAGGACTCCCCGCAGCAAGAACACACACGAATTGCCTTGGAAGCTATCTCTAAACTGTGTCCTCCGTCGTCCTTTTGCAATAGATCCAAAACCTTGACAGACATGAAATCGGAGGACGAGAAAAACACAAGTACACATACTGGGCTGGACGACCCCCTGACCATGAGCGAATACCGGAGAGCAAAAATCTCTTCCAGAAAAAACTCCGCGCCCAGACTGGACCAAATTTGCTACGAGATGCTGGATCAACTGCCCATGGAACACGAGACGTATTTGTTATCTATGTTCAACGAAATCTTTTCCCGGGGAACATTTCCAGACTAATGGAAAATCTCGCTGGTTATACTCATACCTAAGCCTGGCAATAAGGCGGTTAGACCCATTTCGCTTATGTCGTGTGTCTGCAAACTTATGGAGCGAATTCTTTATCAGAGGCTGAGATGGTTTGTGGAATCTAACCCGATTCTTCCTCAGGCTCAGGCTGGCTTCAGGCCTTTCAGGAGCTGCGACGACAACCTAGCCGCTCTTACAACAGCAATCAGAACTGGCTTCTACGAACATTCCGTCACGGTCGCGGCCTTTTTGGACATTACAAGTGCGTTTGACAACGTGGATCCGTATATTCTCTTGGAGGATCTGAGAGATATAGGAGTTCCAGTTCTCTTCAGGAAATTTGTGGAGAACCTGATTAGCATCAGAACCATGTTTTTTGTAGTCGACGGTGAATCTCAAGGACCTTATATGGCATACAAAGGCATCCCACAAGGTTCGACTCTGAGCCCTCTGCTATTTGATATCTATCTCAGGAATTTGGGCCAGCATTTGCATCCTGACACTCGATTTCTGCAATACGCCGATGACGTGGTGCTCTACTCCACACATAGGGACCCGAGGATTGCTGCTGAGTCGATTCAGGTTTCACTCAACAAACTGTACGAATATCTTAAATATAGAAATCTGGAATTATCCCCGGGCAAGTCTAGCTGGATTTGCTTTTCACAAGGACCCGGAAAAAAAACTTCATCAAAATTAGTAATTAATGAGAATCAGGTACCTAGAGTTCATTTTCAGCGCTTCTTGGGGGTTATTCTGGATTCCAGCCTTAAGGGTGGCCACCATCTTAAATACCTCATTGAAAAAGGCAAAAAAATCTCTCGCATCATGGCTACCTTGTCGGGTGTTATCTGGGGCTCCCATCCGGGTCTTCTGCTCACTCTGTATAGATCCACCTTTCGCAGTGCGGTTGAATATGGGTGTCGCTATTTTACTTGGTCCTCTTCTTCGCCGAATTATCTCAAACTGGTGCGTTTGCAGTATAGAGTGATTAGGGGAGCTATGGGATATCGCATTTCTACGCCGATCAATGTTATGTTAGCTGAAGCAAAAGAAATCAGCTTTGACATTAGGCTCAATCTAAATACTTCAAGATTCATTTACAAGGCCATGGCAAGTAGGTTCAGCTTGGTCTACCGTTCCCTGGAGGAGATGGAGATAGCGGTTACCAGAAGGAACTGTAGGATCGACGCCATCAGCAAATCCAGATTATTCAAGCATTATGTAACTAGTCGTGGAGAAAAGAGCATTATCCATCGATCCACCTACCCACCCGCTTTCTGGCACTCCTACGAGGTCCTTACTCTACAAATAAATTACATCAACGACTTAAAGGGCTGTAACAAGAAGGATAACCCTAGCCTGACTAAGGCGGATTTCTATCACAAATCCTTTAATTACAGACAAAACGCCGTCTCCTGGTACACTGACGGATCAAAGAATCTAGACGGCGTGATGGGAGCAGCGGTTTTCACGCCTGACATGGAGGGAACAGTAAAGCATAAATTACCCCCTGAAACTTCAGTTTTTTCGGCGGAACTATGGGCCATCCTCCAAGCCATCCAGCTAATCGGAGATCTTAACACTAAGAAGAACGTCATCTTTTCAGATTCCGAAAGTGCATTGGAGGCACTCAGTAACTCCACTAGGGCCCATCGTAACTACATAATCTATTACATCAAACAAGCTTATCTTAACATTACCAAGCAAGACAAGGAAATTATATTTTTCTGGATGCCTGCTCACGTCGAGATCCCAGGCAACGAATCTGCAGATGCTGCGGCCAAACAAGCAGCCATAGAGGGATACAAACCCCCCTTCAAGATTCCTTATGAGGACCTTCTCACGGAATCTACCGAACAAGCAAAAAGACAATCCGAAGAAAGCATGAAGATCATTTCCAAATCCAAAGGCACTCTGTACTATGAAAATTTTTATAACGCTTCATCTAATAAAACATGGTTCCATGGAGCCAACTTATCAAGAAACGAAATTGTAATGATTAACCGTCTGAGGTCAAATCATATAAACGTCAACGAAAGCCTCCATAGGGTCAACATGGTGGAGTCTCCTGCATGTCCCTGTGGTGATCCCCGACAATCAATCAATCACCTCATATTTCATTGCGAAACCCTCAATTCTAATTCATCTCCTATAAGAAATTACATAGCGCAGAAATTCCCTGATCCTTCCCCGAACCTCCTCCCGGCCCTTCGTTCCCCTTCTCCCAAACTATGTCGCCTGCTCTTGGCATTCATGAAGGCCAACGAGCTTTTCTTTTAGCTACTCTATATTTTTTCCCCTTCCCTTCTCCTTTGGCGCGCGACTCACCGTTGGGTGGTGGCAGGCGTCTGGTGATGGGGGGGAATATCGAGATTGCGCGTCATCACAAGTCGGCAACCTTTTAACGTTTAACAACCAGATATGCAGACCTCAATGGCCTAGTTTCAGCCTGGTTGGCTGTCTGGCCAAACATTAGGAAGAAGAAGAATAGTATCTCGTCGGTGCTGAAGTTTATGTAAATCAGGTAATTTCTAGGTTAATTTTATACATATATACAAAGGCATAGAGAATTAATGAACTGCTCGATCCGTATCTAATAGCGTTTTCGGCTCGGCCGGTTTGCACAAACCTGGGTTGGATTCAGGGATCGGAAACTCCCATGGAAGAACTGTTACACGATGACAGTGATAGGTTGCACCTGAAGAGTGCGCTGATGGTGCAATATTCTTAATTTAGCTCTCTGAGGCAGTGATGCACATCTGGCTTCCGGGCAACACGAGAATCATCCCCACCACTCTCGC